GGTATGGAAAAACAAAATCAGAAAAAATATAGGGGGGAAGGGGGAAATAATCTTACGGATTCTCCTACAGGTTCTCGTGTGATAGCGGCTGTCTGAACATTGCCCCAACAAATTTACAGTTGGCTGCACTTCCCATTCGTCCTGCACCTAATGAGTGCTTCGGTTTAAGTGACTAGACTAGAATTGACAGTAATGACAAGTGCTGTGTGCTGAGTGTCCCTATGTCCTCACGGAGCATCCGGAGGGATGTTAGTGCGGTGTCCCGGCAGCAGAAAGTGCAAAGCAAGTCCCCACTGCAGACACATAGGACTGGTGCTTCTACAGGATTTTTTTCTTCCTTCTCTCAAGCTGCGCAGCCCCTTTGCTGCGCGCGGATCCCAGCTGGGCCAGAGCAATACGAGCGTTTGGGAGTTGCCAACGCGGCGGTGGCGTGGACGGATGGTCCCGGTGAGCCAACAGCAGTATAAGCAAGTGCTGGAGAGGCCCTTCCGTGGGGACTCGTGCTAAACAGAGCACGGACACAAGGGGAGGGAAGGGGACGGAGCCCCCAGGGAGGAGCAATAGTGAAGCTGGAGGGAGCGCGGGTGTCCCAGCTTTGCCACCCTAACCAGTGACCCATGCTGTCTCCCGCAAAACATGAGTTTTCAGTTGCCTTTTGGTTTTAATCTTGCTGATTGTAGTGAGGATGCCAGTGACTGTTTATTTCACCCAAATGTGGTTACGCTGCTGCTGGGAGGTTCCAGTTTGGCAGCCCACCTCTGCTTTGGTTACTGTAACGACAGTTTTAATTGCGGTATGTTGGGTTAGTCCCTGGCAAAACCCACAGCTCCAGAAAGTCAGGATGGTCAATTCCGTTACCCAAGAAGCAAGGAGTGGGGAAACTGGTCTGGATAAAGCCAAACTGGGTAGAGTGCACTAAAAGGGCAGTGTTAGCTCTCCCTGTGCTGCAGGAATGGGGCAACCCGGCTGTGAGGAGCTGCAGTGATGTGAGGGCAGCAGACAGACGGGGAGATGGGTCTTGTCCCCAGCAGCCACTGGCCTGTTGGTGGGGAACCATGTGGCCGCAGCGTGGTGCTCCTTCCCACCGCCGTCTCCCTCCCGCGGCAGCTCGGAGACGTGGGAGGACGTGCTGGGAGGAACCTCTGAGCCGACTGCTGGGAAACCCAAGGGTAAAAATAGCCTCCCTTTAAATAGCCAGGGTGGCGGGTGCGGAGCGTCACCATCTGCCACCAGGCTTTGGAGCAGGTGCCGGGGCCAGGCTGTGGCGGGTGGGCACCGGGGTGCAGGATCTGCTCCGGGGTTGCACCCGGGGTCCAACCGCTCCACTGGGACCAGTGCCGGCTCCCGGGAGGGTGGGACAGTGCCGCTGACACGCTGTGACGGCTAATAACGTACGCGCTGAAATTAGAGGTGTTTTTACCATCCAGCAGTTGGGGAAACTGAGGCAGGGGAAGGTGGTGGCTTTCTCCACGCCTGCGCAGTGAGCTGGGGCCCAGCCGGGACCAGAGCGGGGGGTTCGTCCCTGGCCGGTGCTGCGGGGCTCGCGCTCGGCAGCGATGCTCCGCGCTGGGGCAGGCTGGGCCTGG